AAATAGATATATATTAATTAATTTAAAAATAGATAAAAATTTTGTTAAACTTCATTATCTTAGCATACATCCAAACTGTCTAAAACTTCATGTGAAGTCAATTTAAAAACTGATAGGCAGTTAAAAGTATAATTTTTACTAGAAAAAATTACGTTCGTTCATCATGTTAAATTAATTACAACCAACTACTTAAGTGTGCTTTCACTTTTTGCAGCGTATAATTATGACAAACCCAGTAGCGTGATGACCTACTAAATTCGTTTTTGAACTGAATGTCACAATCGCAATCCTTGATCTATCGTAATCCACCGAAATATCGCTGAGGATCTTTTTCACAAACGTCAATTCACTTTGAAAATTTTGCTCGCCGACGGTCCACGAATTGTCAATTAAAAAAACTACGTCTAACTTCCTGTACTTCTTGAGCGCGTTTATGTTCGCTTTCAGAGTTTCGCCGAGGAAATCAAGCTTCGATTTCAACACCGAATTTTGCAAAACAGTTTTATCAGACGTAGAAGACTTATTGGCACCGAACTCGAAGTTTTCATTACTGTCTTCTTTTCTTGAATTCCCGAATTTGTAACACTCACACTGGCAGGTATATGTAAAAATAATAAGTGATAAAATTAACAAATACGTACGGTTCATTTTTTATTATCACTTGTGTTCATGATCTTAATAAATAATGAGTGAGTGTTCAACGTTTATGTTAATCTGCTTTTGTATGATAATATCGCGTTTGGCATAATAATCATTACATGTACAAAGGTTAAGAACCATTATTTTTTTTGCTACGAAGGAAATGCATTACAAGAGTTAACGGTCAAAGAACTACTTTACGTAATATATATTTTATGTGGTAATAACAAATACAATGTGTAGTTAGTTAAGTATGTTGAACTTAAATGTATATGAATTCAAAACATACTATAATTCTACCTAATATTAATTTAATTGAAAACAAAATTAAAAATACCTGGCAAAAAAACAATTAATTTCATTAAATGGTTTCCCATCGAAATTATAAGGATCATTGGTGCGTAAAGCCAAAGGTCCCGAGTTCAATTCCCGGCGAGGGTGTGACAACAATACTAATTTTTCCTCATTAACTTGAAGTAATTTATAGTGGATAAAAATTAGAAATTAATTTTCACATTAATAGTTACTCTTTTAGAATTGTAGTACTTGTCCAAATTTGATTTTTAAATTTTATGACCAAATATTGATCATAAAAAAAACTTCCCATTCATTTAGTACTTATTACGACTCCTTAGTAAAAATAATAAAAGCAGAACCAGTACAAAATGTCTATTAACTTTAGCAAAGAAAATAAAAGTAACCTTGCAGTTCAGTTGTTCAATTTTCACTCATAATCACCTGCTGTAAAAGTTTGCCAAAGCAATATTATTTCTTCCAGTTAAATCAGAAAAGACAGATGTGTAAATGAGAATTGCTCAGCGGTTTCAGAAATAATTTATTCACACTTTCCATACGTTTAGGTCATTATCAGTTTAGAATGTATATATGTATGCCTAGTAAATATACATTTTTGGTAATGACACATTTAATTTGGCATTTACCAATAATATTTTATTAATTTACAATTCGATTTGGTTTTGTCCTACTTATTTCAGATATTTTATGTTCTGTAAGATTTAAAATATTCTATTTTTATGAGAAAACTTGAAACAACATAAAGTATCATAATATATATGTGTATTGTAACTTTAAGTTATCCATTTGACATTACACTATTATTTTTTAAATTCTCTATCTTATTCTCTATTATCTCCAAGTTTCTATCGTTTTCCTCCATGATATAGGTGAAAAATATGACCCACTTTTTCTCTCCCTGCCTAACCCAACTATTATTACTATTTCCCTATCCAATTCCTTTACATTTCACAATTGTTTAATCCTACAATCATCCCTCCCTTAGCTCTACCTTGTTTTCCCACCCTTATTGCCTCAAATAAATCCCAGTTTATGTCCAGTTTCCTTCTTACTTCTATAACATCCTTATCTTCTATCCATATCCCGCTTAAAACGATTATTTAATGTTCCCTCACAACATCCCAAAAACTACTATCTTTACTCTTTATCCCTGCCACGTTCCAAGCTAACAATTTAACTTTCTCCCATCATTCCCCCCACCTACCCATCCACTCCCCACGAAATGTCCATGTACCTTCTTTTTTAAGCAATTCAATTCTTTTTCTTCTACATCTCATACCCATATTATCCCGTCTTGGAAAGGTTACCCTGAAAATTGGAAAATCCGAGAAAAGCTGAACGTGCTTTTTACAAAGGATAAGCGTAGTTCTTAGTAGTCCTGAAAAAGTTTTCAAGGGAAAAAATTCACGATAATTGCAAAGAAAATCCGGAAAAACTACAAAAAACATAACAAAGCTTGGTTGTTGCTGCCTTGTTCCACCATTGCTTTGTACTAATCGTAAGTACAATCGGCGTCGGATTCCTTTCATTTAAAGCCTGTGGAATGTAAGAAGTAGAGAATGAAATTAGTATGCATTAGCTCTTTTCACAATCACTTCTGGAAGGAAGGTGGAATTAAAGCAGACGTACAGGCGCGTAACCAGGTGCTCGTAACAGTGTCACACATTCTTCTTCGTGAAGAGCAGACAGCTTTCTAAGCCAACCGTGACCCAACGCCGTCGAAAAACTCTTCCGAAAAAGGAATAAAAAGTGTGTGCGTGCGGAATTTACTAAATTAACTGTCGTCTAGTCGTTTATTTTCAAGTGTCTTTTTTATTAAGTGTTTGTGATTTTATAGTGTACTAAGAAGCACGAGTGAGTTGGTTTGTGATATAATTTATCGAAGTTACCTTTGTTTCGCTGAAAAATATTGCTCAGTTTTAATTATTCTGTTTACACAATTAATTGGATAATGTATAGTAATTACTACAAATAAAATTGAGGGCGGCCATAGGCAGTGCTAGGCTAGATATTTGCGAGGCCCTTATCTTTTTGGAATTAGTTTTAATGATGATATTTGACGAGAAATGTAATGTTATTGATAATTAAATTTAATTTTATAATTACTTACTGTAAATTAACAAAAATTAATAAACACAAATACAACAAATTTTTAATCATTAGGGTGCATTCATGTCTTAAAAAAAATCAGGAATACTATTAGTATTATTATATTTTTCAACTTGGATTGTTGCGGGAGTGCGCGAGGCCATTGCAAGAGCTAAACCCCCGCGCTCTCAAATAAGGTCA